GCTTACGTAAGTATGTATATACTATGTTTGTATAAAGTTTAGATGAAGTTGTGTAACTTGGAGATCATAGCGTTCACAAAAAAGAATCATGGGCTATCTAAAAAAAACTCAGGGCACAGCATACATGACTTCCCTTGAAGTTCTTAAGAGAGTCAAGGAGAATCACAAAATGATATATTGTACTGGAGTAGGGTTGCATGGGAGCCAGTAATAATGAAAATGGAAAAGTAGCTACAAGGGCCAAGTATTGCCACAGATTCGGATAAATTTGATTGTATCTCTCCTACAATCCCACCAGTTTAAAAGCACTTTATAAAGACCTGGAGTAATGAGACACAGTCATGTAACTTATTTCTTTTCAAAATGCTTAGATGAGACCTTGCTACATAACATGAAACTGCTTTCAGACCATATTTATAATCTCATATTGTGGTTTTGATATTACCAATAAGAGTGTAAGTTACCATATATGACTAACAAATACTAACTCCATATTAAAAAACTTATTGTACAGGGTTATTTGGGAGCTGGCCACCCCAAAAAAAACCCAACTACAAATCAGTGTGCTTCTATCCTGCTCGTGGGTGGAAGAGGTCTATTTCTTGTGCTCTATAGTGAGAGATTTTTTCCTAGACTCAAACTGGAGACTCTGAAAAGTAATTCACAACATTTGGGCTACACATTTCACCTAGATTGTGCTCTGCATACTCAAATTCTACCTAGTGGCTTTCTCTGCCTCTGGAGATAGCCATCATGGATTGATCCAAGGCAGCCACGGCAGAATAGGAAGCAGCACATTGATCATCAATGACACTAGAGTGGACAGCTCCTGCTACTGAGCTGGAGAGGTGAGCACACACCTTCCACAAGACAACTGGTGAGGAGAGCCAAGCCTTAGGCTCTGGAGAGCTTGCTGGCAAGGAAGGTAGTATAGTTAGCATCTTTCTGACTTATTCACATGTGTGTGTGTGTGTGTGTGTGTGTGTGTGTGTTTCATATGCACCACGCTAATACCATGGTGAGTGTGTGAAGGAGAGACGACAGTTTGCTGGCAGCAGTTTCCTTAATAGGCTGAGCTGTCTCACTAGTCCCGAGGTAGCATTCTTCAGACATGAGGACTTTTGACATTTTCTCTGAGGTACAGAAGTTGTCTCTTCAACACAGGGCTATGATGAAACACAAAAAAGGAAGATTCCTCGGGTGCCTTAACCTACTGAACCATCTTAACTGGCCTCCTCCCAACCTCTGTTTAAAGGATAGTTTATGGGGGCTGGAGAGATCACTCAGCAGTTAAGTGTGAATACTGCTCTTGCATTCTATAGACAGAGACAGGCAGATCTGAGATCAAGACCAGCCTGGACTACAGAGCAAGTCCAGAACATCCAGGTTACACAGGGGAATCTTGTCTTGAAAAAAGAAAACACCCTCCCCATAACTGTAGTTGGATCCTAGAACCATCATCAGGTTGTTCACAAACCACCTGCAACTCTAGCTCCAGGAGATCTGACATCTTTGGGATCTATGGGCACTGGCATACACATGAGTATACCTACACAGAGGCCTCCACACATCATTAAAAATAATAAAATAAATCTTAAAAAAAAAAGAACCGAACCAGATCCGCTGAATGTGGGTCATAGTTAGGAGCCCGAGGTAGTCTATGGCACCTCTTTTGGTGGAACCAGCATTTACTTCTAGAGCACAAATTGAATTTCTGAGCCCATTCTCCCATGGACGGATACCCTCCCAGCCTAGCTACATAGGGGAGAGTCTAGGCCCTGAGCCAAATGACTTGATCCATTTTTGATGATCCTCTATGGAAGACCTCACTTTCCCTGGGGAGTGGGAAAGGAGGTGGGGTGCATGAGAGGATGGGAGGGAGAGGGAACTGGGATTGATATGTAAGATAAGACTGTTTCTGGATTAAATAAAAAAGAGTTAAAAAACCACATATTCTTTATATTCTTTGATAAAACGGTTTCTATGTACTCTCTGTCCTTCTGAACCAAGTGAATTAAAGAGAACTGTCTAGTATTTTTCACCTAGATAGACTCTGTTGTTGCAGCTACATAACTAAGACACCTATAAAGAGCAATGCAGGATGAATGAGTTAAGTATCATTAAAAGTTAAAATCTTTCCCACATTGAGAATGTGAAATATCATAATGTTTGGTATTAGAACCCTGTATGGTGCTGCTTTACATGACTAAAAATAGAGGCAAAAAATGTAAAGATAAGTGACTTAGCCACGATTGACATAATATCATTTATAATTACTATATATGTGTTAAATAATATTTTATCCTGAATAGCCATAGTGGGATTATGTGTCAAATATAAAAGTAGTTTGAATATTGTGTCCAATATTAATACAATATGGTGAAAATCTTATAAATGAAAATAAGCTCGGGAGGCAGAGGCAGGTGGATCTCTGTGAGTTCGAGGCTGGGCTGGACCGACAGCCTCCAAAAAAAAAATACAGAGAAACCCTGTCTCATAACCCCCCCAAAAAAAAGAAAAAAGAAAAAGAAGAAAAATAATCAGACACAGACAGAAGAATTTCAACAAGAATTTATTGTACCACTACTACTTGATAAGGCTGAAGACAGATAGCCCAAAATTCTTAGAAAACAAAAGCTTGGTTTTTTAGTAATTATTAAAGAACTACTAGCAGATAATCAGTACCACCAATGTTATGAAGAAGGTAAATAGAATGTTACAGATATAGTTTTCTATGACTCTGCACATACACTTTTGACATATTTATATTTGTGTTTAAATTTTTTCTTCTTTATGTTTCTTTAATTATGGCAAGAATTGGAATGTGTATATGTATATGTGTGACTATGTGGACATTAGTCTTCCTTATGCCTCTTATTCCTCTGACTGCTGGGAGGAAAGAATAACTCCAGTCTGAGCTTTTGATCACGAACATTTTTCTGGACTTTTCAGCATAAGCACACTAGATTATGGCACTGATCATTATGAAAACAGCCATTTTACCAGAAGAGGGCAGCACTAACGCATATATTTCTAGTCAATACCACCAGCCCTGGAGCTGTACAGTCACTGTACCACAAGAAAGTAAGCAGTACCTACACTCTTGATCAACTAGGCCCCGGGAAGTTCTCCAAGTCTCTGCTTACATCCTTTAGCATTATTTTAGAACTGACCACACTCACAATTATCTTACTAAACAACAGTCCACTGTCTGGGGAAGTAAGCCTTTCCCAGAATTTTGACTTCTAGAAACAGTATCCCTTGGTTCTAGGATCCAGCTTGCTGTAGTAAAAATGCCAGAGCAGACTGGAGTGGATTTTCCATGGGACGGAAAGTCGGCATAAGAGTTAAAAGCATTTGTTGCTCTTGTAGAAGACCCAGGTTCAGTTTCCAATATTCACTTGGTGGCTCACAACTATTGGTAACATCAGTTCCATTGGATTTGTAACCCCGCTTCTATCTTCCTCAGACATCAGACATCCCTGTGGTAAAACATACAGGCAGACAAAACATACATATAAATAGAATAAAATAAATAAACCAAAATAAATTGAAAGAAAAGTGTGGATGTCCCTCATTCTTAGTAGGTCCAAGACAATTAATATTGCTTTTGAGGGTCTCTTGAGGACCAAACCCTAACTTAAGGAATGAGGTGATGGAGATAACGTCCTTTATCAACAGGAAGCTCTTTCATCAATGTGCTAAAGTGCTTGTTTTGTAGAACAACAATGATGATTTAGTGCCCTTACTTGTGAAATATAAACCCTATTTTCATAATTATATTGGAAACTCTTTAATTGCTAAGAAAAAAGAATAATGCTAGCATCTAACTAGTAAGCATAAAAATTTTAATATGAGACCACTGAGTTTCTTGAAGAAAATGTAGCCAGTACTTAGAACTGAGTGCTCAGTAAAGCATTCTTTACAGTTTTGTTTAAAAAATTTAGGTCAGTGTCTCTCACTGTGTGCACCTAGGTGCAAATTTTCATTATCATTTTACCTAATCTTTGATACTCAATGAAAGAAGTCTTTCATGATGGGAGGAATGAGAGTGCTGCTTTGTAGGGGAGAACTAGGAAGATGTTCATCTCCCTCATGGACTCTGTTTAACTTCCAAGATTACAGGAACTTTACTGCAAGATAAAATCAGTTTTTCATCAAAACTCTATATGAATATTCAAATTCAGGAGATGTCACTCTTTAATAATTAAAATGTAATTTATTTGTGAAGTGTGTTCAGATAATCACAGATGATAATATGTCATGAGCTAAATATCAACAGAACAGGGTGCATATTGCTAATGGTGGTTATTTAGCCAAGTGCGTCTTCCTGAACCTCCAATCCAGGGTTCTCTTAAATTTCACATGAGGCAGAGTCTTACAAAATTGTTTCCTGTTTTTCCATCCATTTCACTGAGGCAGTGGCCACTCTTTTTCCTACTCTCCTGGAAATGGGGTCTCTGGCTATTGCAGAAATTTCTGTGAGCACATTGCAGTTCCAGACCATACACTTTGATGCTTGCTTCCAAGTGCAGATTTCAGTTGAGTGGCATCCAAGAAAACAAAAATCAGATAAAAGATCTGAAAGTTCTCAGAGAACATTATAAACAGGCATCCTCCACAGAATTTATTCATGGAAGATTTAAGCCTCAAACTGCTGAGTAGATTTGACTTTTCCCAGAGGATGAAATTAAGCCAGACTTCACAGGAATACAATAGCATTACTCTGTGTGTAAATGAGGTACCAAACATGAGGAAAAGACAAACACATTCTTTTGTCCTCATAAGTGTAATATCTACAAATATATATTAATGAATCTGGTTTAACCATGTTTGCCCTAAATAAAGACCAGTTTTGTTTATACTCATGAACAGCCTGACATACATCTTGATATTTGCATACTTTCTACTCATAAATCTCAAATGACTCCCAGTTGTTTCAAAGAAACATACTCATGAGAAAATCAGTAATTAGCCTGAGACAGAGATTAGAAAGCACAATGGATTTTCGGGTGCAGATTTTTAGATTCCTTCTAATCAGTGTCACAGGTAACACAGGGGAGGAGTTATGAGCTCAGAATCTAAGATTCTCTTCTTACTAGGGAATTTTGAGTTCAAGATGAACTATTTTTCAGTTCTTTCTTCTGAGTATTGGTTGACATGAATTTATTTTGTATATCTACACTTACTAACCGCTCTCTTTTGTCATAACTTTATCTTGGCCATAGTGTCCAAAGGAGAAATTGTGCTTACCCAGTCTCCAACATATATGACTGCATCTAATGGGGAGAAGGTCACCATCACCTGCAGAGCCAGCTCAAGTATAAGCTCGAATTACTTGCATTGGTACCAGCAGAAACCAGGAGCTCCCCCCAAACTCCTGATTTATAGCACGTCCTACCTGGCTGCTGGAGTCCATGGTAGCTTCATTGGCAGTGGGTCTGAGACTTCGTATTATCTCACAATTAGCTGTATGCAGGCTGAAAATGCTGCTACTTACTACTGTCAGCAGGGGAGTAGCAGCCCACCCCCACAGTGTTACAGACTGGAACAAAAACCCTTGGTATCCCCAGGGTCCAGATGCTTTCTCAAAGAGATGAAATGTGGCCAAGGTTTTAATTGACATGTGTCAGGGTTTCCCACATTTTCTTTAAGGGAGTATTGATGTTGTTTAGAGATATGTTCTTTTGCCTACTTTCAACACTTCCCATGTCAATCAGTTTTGTATTAATCTGGCAGATTCTTTTACAGGAGTTGTCTTTTATTATGAAAGATTTTGTCATGGAAATGTGTCTGGTAAGACACTGGCTACAGTAAGTTTGGCAGTGAGCAGGGTTAACCAATTATGGTCATCTGTGTAATTAAATTATATTCAACACCAGCAATGCTTACAAGTATCCCAGTGACTTCTGATCTTGTGATTCCCATTCACCTACTGTGATGTGGGGCTTTTCAGACTGCTGGATTCCCTTGAAGTTCTGAGAAAGACAGAATAGAGACAGGTACATCAGAGTGCATTAAGCTATGTGAACACTTCTTAATGGCTGTGGAGAAACTGAAATTCTCCAATATCTTGGAGTAGAATGACATTATAAGTGAGAAAGAATAGCAAAACAAAAGTTTAAAAAAGTTCCATGAAGCACTGCTTTCTACAACTGAGAGCACAGTATGGTCTAAGTGATTGCTTTTAGCTATTGTATAATATACTTTCCTCAAGAGTTCTCCTACCCTGACTCCTCTCAGACCCTCTCCACCTAGGTTTCTTCTAGGAGTAAATGTAGGGGTGAGAGCTCAACACTTTCAGTCTCTTTGGGGCCATTGATGGTGGATTAAATAGCCAAAGACTTCATTATCTTGGCATTCATTGGGACTGCATTAGGACTCTCTTTTATTCTTCCAGCCACAGGAAATTCTTGTGTTTACAAGGTTTTATTCAAATGGTGCATCACATACTTCTTTAAAATGTCATTTGCATTTTGGGGTAATAAAATTTCTCTGTGAAATTCCTCTGTACTTCAGTGCTCTCCTTCAAGTAATTTTTGGGGCAGAATTTGTTTATTCTGTACTCTGATTCTGTCAGTTGAAGGAAAGTATAGCTGGCATCTCTCCTGGGCCCTTTTCCTGGATGTCTCCAGAAGGCTTTGCACCTTGTTTCTTCTTCCTTATCTGATTCAGAATCTCCTTTGGAAGGTTGTTCTCCTTCAGCACAGTTGTTTACTGAAAATACACTGCCTCTGTCATCCTGGTAAAAGTTTTATCCATGTTTCTCTGTCTTCTCATTGTTAGTAACAGATCATTTCTCTGAAATTGTCCTGTTAATTTATGTTTGAAATTCATTAAGTTTTTCTTTAAAAATTTTAAGAAACATGTCAAGGCAAAACTAGATAACAGAATAACTTCAAATTCTCATGAATTGGTAGAATTAATAGTGAAAGTGATTGTCCAACCCAAAGCGATATAAAGATACAATGAAATAATATCTATAAAAACTGCATAGATAGAAAAATCTTAAGATTTGTATGGGAATTTAGTGCAAAGAATAATGCTGGGGTACTACCATATCTAATCCTAAAGTATACTATAGAGTTGTAATAGTAAACACTGCAGTGATTATCACAGAAAAATGCATAGATGATTAAAACAAATCTGAATACTCAATCTTTATCAAAGCTGCTAGAGACAAAAGTTTAACAAACATGGGAATATAGAATCTCACAAACGAACAAAGAGGAAAAAGAGTACTACCAAAATATGGTGCTGGGAAAAATGAATGTGCACACACAGAAAAGGAAGCTAGATTCCAAAATGTCCAAATACCTCACAGTTGAATTTGAAACACAAAAATCCAAAAGCTATGGAATATGTGGCTAGGGACTTTGCTAAAACATGTAGAAGTATATGAGAACATTCTGCATAGGACTGGGACAGGGATACTTTGAATGAGACTGGTCTCCATAGGCTCATATATTTTCTGCTTATTCTCTAGTTGATGATCAGTCAAGAAAGTGTGAAGAGGCTTGGCCTAGGTGCAGTAGGTATGGACTTGTTGTATGAGTTGTGTTACTACAGAAATGCCAGGCCCAATGCTCTCTCTCTCCCTGCTGCCTATGTTTTTGCATATAAAACTCTTAGTGCCCCTTTTGCTGCCACCATGCTTCCCTGCAGTTGTATCAGTCCTGGTGCCTCTTTATGAAAATAAAGGAGTGACAGACACAGTGATCATTCAAGAAATAACGTCAAAATTTGACAGTTGGAGCTCCTGAGGCTATAAAACTTCTGTAAAGCAAAAGAAACAGTGAATTGATTAAGTAGTCAATCTGTCAAGTGGTAGAAAGCCATGCCAACTGAACATACAATAGAGAATTAATATCTAGAATACATGAATGACCGAAAAAGCATCAAGTAAACAAATAACACAATAAAGAGAAGGTATAGACATGAAGGAACCACATGGTAACCTACTGTCTTGTAACCAAACAAGAATATAATTTATTAAATTTAAAATAGTTTTATAGTATATATTCCATAGGTCTAGAGAAAGTTATTCTCAGAAATGCACTACTGCACAAATATCCAATCGCAGAGACGAATTAATCACTGTTGAGTTTTCGGTTATGGATGACATAGATATTACCCAGTTGTTAGAGAGTCTTATCATTTTTTTCTTGCTTTAATATAAGAGCTGCAAGATAATACTATATTTCTGGTTACACCATGTAATTGAGATGTACAATACAGAGAAATAAGGAAGTAAACCAGAAGCATCTTCCATGTTGATTAGCTTTTATTGTCCTGGAAGATGCCATAAAGTTTGCTAGGGGATACAAAACCTCAATGGTTTCATCTCTCTATTTATCTTACCATCTAGACTCCTATGAGAAGCAAGAAGTGACATCTGGATGGAAATAGGACTAGACTGACTGTCGGTGCTTGGGGTATTCTGCTGCATCTTCCATCCCAGTGGCAGGAGCCAATGCTCCCTAGTCTACTGCCCCACTCATGGGTCCAGGTAAACCAGGGCCCATTTACAGTCCACCTGCCTGGGCCTGTGCTCTGCCAATAAGGCTTCAATTCTGGCAGAGGTGGCAGGAGCCATAGGACCATAGTTCCCTGCTCCACCCAGGGAACTAGATTGGCTGCATGTGCTCAAGGGCGGGCACAGTGGCTTTCATCCCAGAGGCAGGAGCAAACTCACCCTAGCATCCTGGTCTCCTGCTCCATCCATGAGACAAAGAATAACAGGGTCTGTCTCCAGACTAAACTCCTGTGCCTGGGGTATACCACTGCATCTCAGTGAGTTCCAAGGCACCCCAACATCCTGGTTCACTTTTTCCACCCACGACTCCAGGAAGTGTTGAACTACCAGAACAGTGGACTTGTCAACACCCAACAGAAGGGAACCGTGGTCCCAAACCCATCAGTAGAGGAAGAGGCACCCTCTGCAACCAACTTCCAGAATGGATGGGAAGGAGACAATATAAAAACATAAAGAACAACAGAAAAACAAATATGATACCGCCAGAGTCCAGAGACCCAACACCAACAAGACTGGAACACCCTATCACAAATTAACTAGAAGAGAATGATACAAAAACAACTTCATGGAAATGATAGAGACCCTCAAAGAGCATATGAGAAAAACCCTTAAAGAGATGGAAGAAAAAACAATCCAAAAATGCAAGAAATGGAGCAAAAGACAAATCAAAAGTGCAATAAACAATTCAAACAGTACAAGGGCTGAAATCTGAAATAGAAACAATAAAAAGCACAGTCTGAAGGAATGCGGGAAATCAAAAAGCTTGGGAAATGGTCAGGTATTACAGATGCAAGCATAACCAACAGAATACAAGAAATGGAGGGGAGAATCTCAGGTCTTGAAGATACACTAGGAGAATTAGACACATCGACCAAGGAAAATTTTTTATGAGACAGGGTTTCTCTGTATTGTTTTGGAGGCGGTCTGACCAGCCTAGCCTCGAACTCACAGAGATCTGCCTGCCTCTGCCTTCCCAGTGCTGGGATTAAAGGCATGTGCCTCCACCACATGGCCTGACCAAGGAAAATTTTAAGTCCAACAAATCCCTAACACAAAATATCCAGGAAATATGGGAGACGGTGAAAAGACTAAACTAAGAGAATAATAGGTATAGTAGAAGGTGAAGAAACCCACCTCAAAGTGCCAGAAAACAAGTTCAACAACATAATAGAAGAAAACTTTCCCAACCAAAAGAAAGACATGCCAATGAAGGTACAAGAAGCTTACAGAAGACCAAATAGAGTGGACCCCCCAAAAAATCCCCTCAACAAATAATAATCAAGACCCCAAACATAGAGAATTAAGAAATAATATTGAGAGCAGCTATGGAAAAAGGCCAAGTTACATATAAAGGCAAACTTTTAAGAATAACACCTGACTTCTACATGGAAAATATGAAAGCCAGAAGGTCCTGGAAAAATATTCTACCGACATTAAGAGTTCACGGATGCCAGTCAAGACTGCTATACCAGGCAAAACTTTCAATCAATAGAGATAGAGAAAAAAGATATTTCATGAAAAAACCAGATTTAAACAATACATATCCACTAACCCAGCCCTACAGAAAAGTCTGGAAGGGAAACTCCAACCCAAGGAAGTTAACTACTACCAGAAAAACATAGGCAATAGATAATCCCACTTTACCAACAGGCAAAAGAAAAAGTAGAGGAAATACACATACAATTTCACCAACAACAACCATTCCAAAACAAACAAGAATGAGCTACCAATGGTCATTAATTTCCTTCAATATTAATGGTCTTAACTCGCCCATAGAAACACACAGGTTAACAGAATGGATTTGAAGACAGAACCCATCCTTCTGTTCCATACAAGAAACACACCTCAGCTTCAAAGACAAACATTATTTCAGAGTAAATGTTGGGAAAATATATTCCAATCAAATGGACCCAAGAAACAAGCAGGGGTAGCAATCCTAATATCTAACAAATTAGACTTTGAACTAATGAGTAAGAAGGAGTTCACTTCATACTCATCACAGGAGAAATCAACGAAGATGAAATATCAATTCTAAACATCTATGCCCCAAATGCAAAGCCATCTATGTTCCTAAAAGAAACATTACT